ACATTCTTGACGAAGGACAGCATTGTAGGAGGACTTGTTCTACTGAACATTGTCTTATTATAAAGCTATTTAAGATAGCGTGTTGCTGATACAAGGATATAGTAATGAACCTATGGAATAAGTAGAGAGCTTATTAAAAGGCCACAGGTATAGAGGTCCTATTTATGGGGAGGGATTAGGAGAAAGGAGACAAAGACAGTGTTTTCAGTAGTAATGATAATGGAAAAAGTGGATATTCACATAGGAAAAAAATGCAACTTAATTCCTGTCTCATACAATATACAAAACTAATGAAAGTATAGACATAAATGTAAATGATAAAACACTACTAATTTATAAGGTCTGTTCAGAAGCTATCCAGCCATTTAATATAAAAATAGAGACATTTATTGAAAAAGATGCAAGATACAAGAAACATTGTACATAGGACAATGATGTCTCAGTCCCCATCAAAGTAGGCACTTTAGGACCTCACGCAGTTTTCCTAATCATCATCAGCTGCCCCATTGTATTTTCCTGAATCAAACTGACAGTCTGAAATCTCTGCCCTTTCAAAGGTGATTTTAGTTTTGGAAAAGGCCAGAAGTTGCAGGGCACCAAATCTGGGCTGTAGTGGGGCTGAGTCACCTGTGTGATTTGATGTTTCACCAAAGAACTCTGCACAAAACCTAGTGCATGAACTGGCATGTTGTCATGATGAAGCTGCCAATCACCAATTACCCATAGCTAGTCTTCTAAATCATCCAAACAGTTTCCACAGAGCAAATGTTCAAGCTTAATGCAAAATTGGATGTAGATTCATTGCTCTACTTGCTCAGTCATTTTAAAAGCAAGGGCCACACAAACACATGCTCACTCAATGGCTTCTCCCACCCCCACTGACTAGTGCAGGGAAGTTGTCATTGTTTACACATGTGCATTCCAGTCTACTCTCCTTGGCTGCCAGTTCATGCACTAGGTTTGTGTGACATCCATGTCACCCAAGGTTACATGGATGTCACACAAACCATTCTTGTTATATTAACAATGGTTGGATTTTTCCTGACAGACTTTGTAAAGTGCTGCAAAGATTCAAATGTCTGCTATTTTTCCACATTCGGTGTATTTCCATCAGATCACAGAGAATTCATTAAACGAGATTAAATTGTAATCAGAAAAGATCAGACTTCTGGAATGTTTCAGGGGAATGGTCTTAAAAGCAAGAAAGTTGAAGAGGCCCCAGCAACATTTGAGGTGTTTGAAACTTGTAACAATATTGTTCATTTGGGAATGGAAAGAAAGGGGCAAATCAATAAGACATGTCAAGAAGGCTTGACAGGTGGTTTGATATTATGGGCAAAGGGAGAAAAATTCACAATGACCCAGAGGTTTTGAGCCTTAATTATATCACTAACAAGGACAGAAAGTCAGGAAGACAGGCTGTTTGAGAGAGACGATTACTGAGTTTGAAATGATGTTCACACATCCAAAGAGAAATGCCCCAAAGAATGGTAGAAGTAAATTTCCATTACCGGAAATGAAGAAAGGGGCCAGGACTATCATGATGGATTAGGACGTCAGTGGTGTCTGCAGGTAAATGACATGGCTACTCACTGTCTATGGTTACTCACTGTGTGTCCCAATTCTCTTTTATCCAATTCTCTTTTCACTCAGTTACAACTGTGGCGTCATCTGCATAAGCAAATCACTAGTCTGACTTTGAAATGGAGGGGAAAACACAAGTGCTGATGTTAGCAGAGATTGACATCTGCTGAGGGCTGCCTAGAAGTAACTCTTAAGTCACACTCCACATTGAGAAAATTTTGAACTGACCCTGTCTTAAAACCTTCCAGGTAAAGAGATGTTTCAACAGGCTTGACAAGCCATTCCAGTATTTCACTAACAGTAGAATCTGTCAGGTACTCTTTTCCATCAGTTAAGTTAACCTTCACCCAGTAGAACATTAGTGAGGTATGATGTCATACCTGAAGATCAAATCTACTTCTTCAGTTGGACTAAGGGAGGACACCAGCCACCTTGTGTGGAAGAAAATCCTCTTCATAACTCCTCTTTTTCTATTCTCTGAAGAACAGTGATAAGGCACCAGATAAAAATATTCACACCCATGGGTGATGGATGTCATTGTCCACAGTCCCTCTAATTGATGGCACCTGTGTGCAGAAAAAAAATTTATCATTTAATGGAATAAAATCTAGATTTCAGAGGAGTGTATCAGCATGCATGAATGTTTACTTAACACATTATCATTTAAAAGTATTTTTTCAAAGCTTTCTCACTGAGCTATAAAAGTTTCCAGTAGCCCAGAATTAGGCACCCATGCTAGGTGCTCAGAAGTGCCACGTTAACACCTGGATAAAGTTTGGGGGCTTGGGGCTACAGTGGCAAACTCTCCATCCCCTCCTCCTATGAAATCAATTTTACAATTCTTTCTATAAGAGTTCTTTTTTCCCCACACAACTCCTTGCTAATAGTCACTGATTAAACTACCTTTTTGATCTTGGAGCTCTATTTAAGAGAATTTTAGAGGGGGAGAAACTACTTAGGGAAAAGAAGAAATCAAATTTGTAATGTGTCCCATCTAGCAAAAGCAGTTTTGTAAGTGGGTAAAAATGAATCAAAGATGATATTTACTTTAAAACTGTCAAGTATAAATTATAGCCATTCTTATTCCAGAAATGCTCTTCCTATGGAAAAGAAAAAAAAAGCTTGCTATGAAAGAATTTAAAATTAATAAAATGCTCTATTTCATTAAAATGTTGGAATGTGATTTGATTTCAGAATACCTGTAGATAATCAATGGGCTACTAAAGAGATATGAGGGGGATGGGAACCATGTATCTGGGAAGTCACAACTTCGGACTCACCCTCCACTACAGGAAGGGTCAGAATGCTCGTGTGCTTCGAAGAAGACCATCTCTATCATTGGCTCCCAACAGAAGATGGTCTTCGAACCCCAATGAAGAAAATTCAATGACATAAAACGAGTGAAGGAGTGAAGTCATGGGTCCAAACTCGCCTGAGTTGTTAACACAAATTATTGTCCTTACTAACAAACCCTAACTTTTATGGCCAGTTTGTGATAGTGATAAAGCCCTCAGTGATGCGACTGAACACCTTAGCACCTTTAGTACCTTTTCTAAGGTATGCCATGAAACTTGTGCATGGCTCAGAGCAGAGACCAGGTACTTTTAGGCAAGTTCTCTAACTGTACATATGTTTTGCTGTACTGACAAGTATTCTCCCCTACTTCTGCAGCCACTTCTTAGAGAATCTGCTCTGCCCAGAGTTCTAGAATTCCTATTACTCAGCATCAACTGATTGGACCCCCTAGCCACAGATCACTTGCTCACATTAGACCAATCACATTTTTTCTTCCAGGAGATTGCCACAGGGATCAAACTGGAGGATCAGAGAAACATGGCGCTACAGCTTTTATTCTGGGACAGTTGTGGGAATCTGGTCTCCAGGCAGAAGAATGAAATAAATGACATCATCCTAATTTGAGACTGACACCAGGAGCAATACACAATTTTTAGCTCACAAGCTCAATATAAACTTTGCCTGTCTTGTGTCATATTCTTGACACACTTTATTTTTTCTTTTAACTGTATTTTATCTTTATATCTCCCTGCCATGTAAAGAAAGCAGTTTATAAAGAGGATAAGCACGTAGATAATCTAAGTAGAATGTTTAGATAGACTTAACATTCAACTTTTAAAAAGTTGCATTTATGTGAGAACAAAAAGCCTTCCTTTAGTAAGATGACTTCTGACCTGTTTTGATTACAGAACATGTGTACTTCTTACAAAAGAAGAGACTCATAGATTGTAAGGAAAAAAAGGAAGCTTTGCTATCATTTTTCTTACTGAGCCTTCCGTGCTTTTTTTTTTTTCAATAATTGTCCCTGATGCAATCTTCATTTAATTCCATTGATTTTAAGAGAAGGCTGGCTTATTTTTATGAAGACAGCTTTTCTCTCAAAACGCGATTGGATTAAGCTTATTTCCCAAGTTAATAACTTTTATTAAAAATTGTTTTCAAGTACAAAAACAACCCAAAGGCAGAGATTTATCTGCAACGGCTGGAGTCAATGCTTATATTAGGAAACTATGAGGAAAATGATCAGAGTTGGCATTTTCAGAAATCTCTAGCATGAAGAATATTCCACTGTCACTCAGCAGCAACCAAACTGCAAAAACACCCAGTGCCCTTTGAGCACTTCACTGTATGTCAGACTGAAGAAACAAAAACAAACGTTATTTTCAACAACAAAAAACGTTATTTCCTTACTCCCCATGATAATCCTGTGAAATAAAATGAAATTGTAGGACCAGCTTTGATCTCACTACCACTCCGACTGGCCAACAAGCTTTTAAAATCTTAATAAATTGGATCAATACTATGTGTAAGAGTATTTCAGTATCCCCTGTACAAGTTAAAAAGCTCAAAGGAGTTTAGGGGTCCTTAGGGCCTCTTAACAAATAATACCACAGCTCTTTCTAGAAATGCAAGCAATCCAGTAACCGGGAAGTTTACGGGGTGACCCGGCACGAATTGCTCAGCGTTCTTTCTTTCCCTCTGTGGTCTCAGATTTCTTACGTGACCGATCAGAAACTTGGACTGATTGTCCAACTTTTCTTGGACTGATTGTCCAACTTTTCTTGGACTGATTGTCCAACTTTTCTTGGACTTGCCCTGAACAGACTTTGGAGGTGAGAGGAAGTGAGAAGCGGAATCAAGAAAAGCTAACCATCCTCTCAGGGTCTGGGAAGGTCAAACAACGGGCCTGACACTGAAAGAAAACCCTAGTGAGGGCGCGAGCCCGACAGCTAAGAGCCAAAGTCGCCACCCGCCTTCCAGAAGCCCGGAGCCGCGTTCACACCACGCCCTTTCCCTAAGCCCCGCACATGGGGTGAACTACATTACCCAGAATGCCATTCAAACAGCCTTGCAGGGCGCCAATGAGCGTCTGGGTGACGTCATCATCCCGCGCGTGTTCACACTCATCCGCTGTCGTGGCGCTTTTGGGGAAGAAGTTTTGCTGGGCCCTGGTCCTGAAGTCGTGGTGCGCGTGACCCCTGGCTCCTTTCCACCCACCCCTCTGCCCGCCTTTCCCTCCCTCTTCTTGCAGGATGAGGCGTGCAGGCCTGGGTAAGGAGAGGGCTGAGGTTCGAAGTTCGGGGGCCCCGGAACTGGCGGTGCTGGGCGCAGGGACTCGGGGTTTCTGTCACTGGAAACTGAGCCAGAGAGCAGGATGTATGGAGGGGTCTTTGGAGGCGATGCCAAGAGAAAACACCTCATTTGTCCCAGATCCTAGGGATTTCCTTAAGTTTGGTTCTGTCCCAAGTTTGGATGGTGGATTTGGAGAGTAGTGCAGGACTTGGGGCTGGAGTATGTGCAAGTGCCAGCTCAGCAGTCAAAGCTTTGGTGTTAATTCTCTCACCGAGCATAATTATGGAAGCTGCTTACTCCCCGAAGCCCGGCTTTTGTTTCTTCTCTGCCGGTCCTGGATGTTAGTTTCTTCAGAAGTGAAATTTGAAGTGTTACATGCGAAGCACACTAATAATAGTAGTAGTAGTATGGTCACAATGAGTTACAAAGGTAAATATACGTGTCACTAATATTAAAGTCCGTGATATGTAACACCAGGGTCAGAGGTCGCTTTACCCAGAACATTTCTTATCTGATCCTTATTCCACCGTTAAGACAGTAGAATGTGGTAATGCTTAGCGACTTGGCATTTTTTCTCTACCTTTTGTCTTAGCTTGTTCACCAACCAGCAGGAATAAGTTAGGCACAAGGACTTGTAGTGGGCCATTATAATACACAGCTATTAAAACAGCATTTTCTGATTCTGAAGTTCTCTATTAGGAGACAGTTTAAAGAAGAAAGAAAAGAATAGAACCCTGCTAAATGAGCACACAGTGTATCTGAGAAAAATTGTATGAAATAGTTAGAAAAAGATGTTACTTTTTTTCAGTTGTTATGAGAAGAGGGAAGAAGAAAAATATATTTTTCAAAAGTCTCAGGCATATTTAAAGTTAGTGAGAGTTGCCAGTAACTCTAGAATTGTACATTGATTAATAAATTGTATATAAGAAACGGCTTTTGAAAAATACAGTTTTTATGAATCCTCGGATCACAATAGGAAAGTTGACCAGGTAAATCGTAGAGAAAAAATAACTAATTTTGAGCAACTTTAGTTTTATATACCTAAATGTTTTTCCTTTGTATCATTACCAATAACAAAAAACATTTATTGTGTACTTGAGTGAGCTGTAGGAATACAGTCCTCTGTGGCCGTTTGTGCCCCCCAAAGCTTCCAATTTAGTTGGGGAGTAGGAACACATTCAAAGATAAGTTATAGTACAAGGTGGCATCCAAATGCCAGATAAGTTCTACAGATAGTGATTGTTTAAGGATTTCAGAGATGGAGTGGAGTGCAGTTCCTTTGTGGAGACATAGGAACTTGAACTAGAACTTGAAGATAGAGGGTGGGGGAGGTAAGTTCCAGCTGGAAGGATGAACTGCCTGCCCTTCCCCGCAAAAAGTTGTAGGAGTAGAATTATGAATGATATGTTCAAGGTATTATGATCAAGCCAATTTGATTGAAGTAGGAGACACAGAACCAGAACTACCACGTTGTGGAGATCTTTGAGTGCCAGGCCAAGGAGTTTGGATTTTATGCATAGGCTCTTTGGACCCTTTGAATATCTTGTTCAGCAGTGCGTCATGATAAATTGCAGGAAAAGAACTTGACAAGTGGTGATTCTCAGCCCTCATTGTCCAGGTAATTAGAATTACCTGGAGAGCTTTTAAAGCACTGCAACCTGGACCCCCACCCCACCCCCAATCTCAAACTGATTAAATTAGAATTTCTGGATAGAGCCTTTTTCTTTTAAGCTCTCCTGCAGTTGAGAGGAAGGGTAATGACATAGATGTCCATTGCTATAATTTATACTTGTATTATGTGAAGCCGGCTGCTTGTTTTTGTTTTGTTTTTAAGATTTTATTTTTAGAGAGAGAGGAAGAGAGGGAGAGAAACATCGGCAGAGAAACATCAGTGTGTGGTTGCCTCTTACATGGCTCCCACTGGGGACCTGGCCTGCAACCCAGGCATGTGCCCTGACTGGGAATCAAACTGGTCACCCTTTGTTTCAAAGCCTGCACTCAATCCACTGAGCCAAACCAGCCAGGGTGGTTTTTTTTTTTTTTCTTTTAAGTATCAGTGTGTACCGACCTGGAATTTTAAACTTGGAATAAGTAGTGAATCTGAAGCTATTCAGGTGGAGAGGCTGTCACACTTCACGTGAATCCCTAAATGATGTGGTTCAGCTATTGATAGAAACTACCCAGAAGAAGTGGCATGTATCTAATGGACAAAGACTGAGGATGGTGACTTTGCCACTTACTAGCTTTCCTACAACTTTCATAGCAGTGATTCAGACAAGGGAGCTAAGTTGGGAACAGCAACTCCTAGAATTTCATTTGATTTTTTCTTTTTTTTATTGGGGGTGGGTGATAGTGTGAGGGAAGTCTGAAACTCTTTAACAGAAGAAATGTGCATTGTAAGATTGCTGGGTGATAAATGAGAATTTTGCTTTTTAATAAATGGAACCATATAGAACTTTAAAATTAAGGTAGGCAAAAGAGCAAAATGAAGGAAATAGTGAATAGCTATTAATTTAGAAATAAATTCCTTGGTGAAGTTGTCAAGGGATTAAATTCCACCAGTCGATAATTATTGGGCAAATGTACATTCAGAACCTTAGTGATAAAGGAAGACATACTCTTTTCTTTAAGGACTTTGATCCTTATTAGAGTGTACAGAATATCATTAATTGATGAAATGAGAATACGTTTTTAAATGATTACTTATTGAGTGGGGGGAAATACTATGCTTAGTCACAAAATGTTCTTCACTTTCATAATAACACTTTGGAGACCTTTGTGGGTAGTGTGTCAACAGTTGAGGGAATTTTTGGGGAGTGCAACTCTTTCTCTTCTGGAACATACTTTAACATTTTGTTCTCTGTGAGTGTAGTTTTCTTTTTCTTTTCTTTTTTTTTTTTGTGGTGGTTTGAGATTGTGTGTCCACCGCATATAAAACACTCATTAGGTACAAGGGACACCGAATTATGAGATACTGTGTCTGCCATCAAAAAAGCTTTTAATTCCATTTTTGGACAAAGGCAAGCCTGTTCAAAGTCAAATAACAGTGATTTGAGATTCTACTCATTCATGTACAACTTACTGTATGTGTATGTACATACATGCATGTGTGTGCAGACATTTGTGGGGGACAGATGGCCATGAGTGAACATTTAGTTTCTGCCCTTAGAGCGTAGCCTGGAGTGTGGTATTAGTGTTAGATACAGCCAGAGCTGTAAGAATTCGAAAGAGGGAGTTTTGCTTTTTAGAGAAAATGAGTTCTAGCTGTGCCTTGACAAAGTTTATTCACACCTCAACCATCTTTCAACTACCAGTGCCGACAGCTACCTCCTGTCCTTCCATCTGTTACACTCACTGCCACTCCACCGACCCTTTGAGTTTACCACACCTCTGGTTTCTGGATCACCCCTTTCATAGTCTCAGACCTCTGTTGAAACTACTTGAAGCCCTGTCCAGTCTGGACCCCATAATCCATATCTTCAACCACTCTTTTGGTAAGCAGTCTTAACCCCTTGGGGTTCTGGGCATCTGCAGCCCAACACTGTGCACTTCCAACTCTTGAGCAGTCCAACCATCCTGCATCCCCTGGGCAGCTTGGGCTGGTGAGCTCTCGCACACCCCCGAAGGGGTCGGAACCACTCCTGTATGTTGCCTCAGCCGGGATGGTTTCCCCCTAGGAGCCTGTGCAGTCAGTTTCCTCCGGTCTTCAGAGACAGCCTTTTCTTTGGGTATCAGTTATTTTTTAAATGTGGCGAAGTAGCACCCTGAACTCTACTTTCCTCTCTCATTCCCCCAACACATTTATCTAAGTATTCACTGTACACAGCTCACTCCACCTGTTTGATTGCCCGATGAGTATCGAGTATTATATTAGGCAGTGGCAGGGACCACATTCCTGTGTTCTCAATTCTGTGCTTTAGAAGATGAGCTCTGAAAAGTAGCACCTAGAAAGAACAATGGATCTGACACCGGTTTCTTAAATATTTGTTGAAGAATGAATGATCCCCTATATTCATAACTTATTCCAGCTCTCTTCTATGTAAGAGAAAGACGCCAATAAAGGACCCTCCCTCTGCCGTGAGCTCCCTCCCGCTATATTATCCTCTCCCTCCCTTTCTCTTCATAGCCAGGCTTCTTCATTTGGGAGTCAAGTGTCACAACTTTCAGCTCTTTTTCAAAGTGTGTAGTTCTATGGAGCAGTAAATATGTCCTGAATATTATTTTTATTTTTTTAAAGATTTTATTTGTTTATCTTTAGAGGGGAAGGGAAGGAGAGAGGGAGAGAAACATCAATGTATGGTTGCCTTCGTGCATCCCCTGCTGGAAACTGGCCTGCAGGGAACCGGCCTGCAACCCAGGCATGTGCCCTGACTGGGAATCGAACCGCAATTGTCTGGTGTGCAGGCCCGTGCTCAATCTACTGAGCTACACCAGTCAGGGCTATCCTGAATATTCTTATGCATTGGTGCTTATTTTAGTGTGGTGTGGGCAGTCAATTAGCAATCGGGAAATGTGTACTCAATTGAATTGAATAGTCTTTGCTTAAGAGAGGGCATTGAGGGAATTGTTCTGCTTTTTATTTGGTTTATTAATTTTAAAAATTACCCTGAAATGTGAATATTACAGACATATGTGGTCTGCAATGCCCTCCAGGGGTCCTTTTCTGTTTTCTTATCAAGGTTTCAAAAGTGGCTTTTTTTTTTTTTGGCTACAACTGCCCTTGTGGCCAATCCTTACAGGTGAAGGAGCACCCCCTGGCAACTATGGCTATGCTAATAGTGGGTATAGTGCCTGTGAAGAAGAAAATGACAGACTCACTGAAAGTCTGAGACACAAAGTAACTGCTATAAAGTCTGTAAGTATACGACATATTAAGTACTTGGAAATTTGTGTATTTATATGCATATATATTATATACTTAGAAACTACATATTTTTATTGGCCTTGTACAAGGAATTCATTTACCCAATAGTTTAGTTCAGTTAGGTACACTCGAAATTTAGACATGATTTGAGTAGAATTTTTGAAAATGTGGCCAAACAAAATATAGGGTACATTTGCTTGTCTTTTATAAACTTCAGCTCTTTTTGGTGGTGAAATCTAAAATGCCGTGTGCTGCCGGTGGTCACGTCTCTGAGTTGTTCATCTTCCACTCCCCAGCAGTCTCCTGAGCTACAAATCTTAGTCCCTCATGTTTCTTTTACCTCACATTAATCACCAACTCTATGTTTCTTTCTTTCTCCTGTTGCTTTACTATTTCTAATACTGTCCCCTGGTTTTCTATTTAGAAAGCCCCTGTTCTTATTTTTTTTACACATTCTGGTCTGAGCTGCATAGATCACCACAGTCATCATTCAGAGGATTAGTTTGTTTATTTTTTGTTTTTGTTTTGTTTTTAATCCTCACCCATGGATATGTTTATTGATTTGAAAGAGGGAGAGAGAAACATGGATTGGTTGCCTCCAGTACATGGCCCAGCCAGGGATCAAACCTGCAACGTAGGGATGTACCCTGACTGGAATCAAACCCACAATCTTTTGGTATGCTGGACGACGCTTTAATGGACTGAGCACCTGGCCAGGGCAAGAGTATTTTTGAAATTGCATCCTACACTCAGAAGACTTCATGGCTCTCCCATAATGTAAGAAATGAAGTTCACACTCTGTAGTTTGGTCGAATAGGTCCTTTAAAGATTGTCCACAGCTTTTCAGACCTCATCTCCTATACTTTCAGAAAGGGTTTGTGCTTTCTGCCAAATTAGAGTGCTCTCTCCGTCCTGCGCATACTGTCACTTCACCGCTCCTGCATCTTAGACTGTGCCATCCCTCTGCCTGAGGTGTCCTCACCTCCTCACGAGGCCTGGAGGCGAGAGCCCATCTGCAAGGCTCCACTTCATTGCGCCCCTTACATCATCCAAGCTTTGCCTGATTCCCACATCAAAAGTAGCTTTCTCTTACGCATGTGGGACCATTTGTACCATTTTTGTAGCACTTATTGTATAGTGATCTACATTGGAATTATTTGTATGTGAAAGAAATTTACCAAAGTAGGGTTTTCTGTTGTATTTATTTTATATTCTGCACAGTTTTCAGTATAATTATCAGTTGTATTGAATTAAATGTATTAAATAAAGGAAAAATGGTTTTAACTGTGTGTGATTGATTCTGCATTATAATAAAAATGCTGTACACTTATAAAGCATTTAGAAGAATTCATATTGCCAGTACTTAATTGGTATTTCACTAGTGTTGGAAAATGGAATTGTATTCATCCTAGAGACTTATATTCTACAATGAGTATTGTTTTCAAAGTCTTACTAGATCAAAAGGAGTTGATCCATGAACTAAGCAATATTGTATAATGTTAATAATTCAGAAAATGTAACATTTAGTGGAATTAAGAATGAAATGATTTTTAAAAAACCTCTAATGTTAATAATTTAGGCTCCTTGTTAAAAGAAAGGTTTTCTCCCTTGGAAATTTCTTTCCGTGGCAGGAATATAGAAAGTAGTTAGGTGATTTGGGCAGTCGAGCTTTATAATTGCTTTATTATCTCACATTATGATCTGTAGAATTCTGGTATGGTTTTGTGTCAGTAATATCCCCACATTCTTTGCACACAAAATAAGCTGAGAAAAATATTTGCAGTGGTTTGCCAAGGTTTTTAGTAATTGTGATTGTGTTTATTCAATTATCTTGGAAGTGAGGCTGTGATGAATTTGTCATGTAAGGTATTTAATAAGTTTTGGTTTGAACAGCAGACATAATTACAGATTTCTTTAGGCTCATCCTCATTTAAGCATAACTTCAGAATGTTGGTAACACGAACTTGTACATTTTTTTCAATTTGTTATTTTTTAAAGACAAATACCTTTCGAATCTAAAGAAATAATCAATCTAGGCATATAGTCAAAGTAGTATCACATTTCAATAGGAGAATATTGAACACATATCTGAATTTGAATTGATAACATAGGTACTTGTATAAATCTTCAAAAGCATAAAGAAGGAAATATACAGCTAAATGCTATTATGTGCATGATATAAAGACAGATACGCCCTGACCAGTGTGGCTCAGCTGGTTGGGCATTTCCCCGCAGCGTGAAAGGTCGTGTTTCAGTCCCTGCCTGGGACTTGTGCCCGGGTTGTGGGTGTCGCCCTTGGCCAGAGTGCCTACTAGAGGCAGCCGATGGTGTTGCCTTCTTTTTCTCCCTCCTTTACCCTCTCTCTACAAATCAAGTATTTTCAAAAAGAAAGATAAAAGCATGCAAAGGTACAATCAGAAGTATGTACCAAAATTAAAAAATGGAATTGGATATTAAGATGAAATCCAAATGAAGAATAGGGAAGCAATATTCTTGGTGGGGAAGAGTAGAACAACTAAATATATTTTCTATTAATTTCAGTGAAAATGTGTCAGAAGAGTATATTTTTTATATCTAGAATATAGGTTTATTTGGGAAAATATGTATGTTTAACATGGCATTGTATTTGTTTTCTAATACTTTATATGAGTAGTAATACGTGCTTTCTTCTTTATAGCTTTCCATTGAAATAGGCCATGAAGTTAAAAGTCAAAATAAATTCTTAGCTGAAATGGTAAGTGAGATTTTAACTGTAAGAAATTTGATCTAATATTATCAGTCTGTTACTCAGGAATAATATCATTTTAATCCATTTATATTTAATTGGTTTGGAATAAGTACAAAGTTATTTTTGCCACATTTTTACAAATTTTATCTTGCCTAACACAAATAAGTAGGATGAAGTGGAAGTCAGTGTAGCTTTCGTTCTGTGTGTAGAAGCACTGTTGAAGACTCAGAACAAATGACTGTTTTGAGTGTTCAGTCTATATCGGAATGGATATAGGCTACTAAGTAATCAAAAAGTACTGTACCTCCAGTCAACCAAAGGTCTTACACTTAATATAAGCTTATTTCTTTTTTAATTTTTTTATAAAGATTTTATTTATTTATCTTTAGAAGAGAAGGGAAGGAGAGAGGGAGAGAAACATCAATGTATGGTTGCCTTTCATGCGTCCCCTGCAGGGAACCGGCCTGCAACCCCGGTATGTGCCCTGACTGGGAATCGAACCATAATTGTCTGGTGTGCAGGCCCGCACTCAATCCACTGAGCTACACCAGGCAGGGCCTTTTCATTTTTTTAAAAATTATTTTATTGTTAAAGTACAGTTGTCTGCATTTAGCCCTCACTAGTCACCCCCTCCCCAGCCATCCCCACCTCCCTCCCCTGATTCCACAGCCCCCTTGGTTTTGTCCATGTGTTCTTTACAGTTGTTCCTGAAAACCCTTCTCCGTCCCCGCATTAACCCCTCCCACCTCCCCTCTGGTTACTGTCAGATTGTTCTTAATTTCATTGTCCTGGTTATATTTTGCTTGCTTGTTAGTTTTTCTTTTGCTTGATATCCTAAGGATCACTTGTGAACAAATCAGTAGGATTTGAACTAGTAATATTGTAAAACCTCTTATCTCTAAACAATCTCAGCAATATATACCTTTTCTTCTGCAAGCCTCTTTTCATTCTTTAGTGTTTACTTTGGATACCAAACTTGTCCAGGCTTTCTCCAGTTTTATCACATGCTTTTAAAATTGTCCCATTCATCAACAACCATGCCTAAAACAAAAGCAAACTAAGAGGACAGCTAGATCAGGAGCAGATCCACAGAAATGGAGATCACTTGGAGGGTTAGCAACAGGGGAGTCGGAGGAGGGGAAGCGGAGAAGGTACAGAGAATAAGTAGCATAGATGGTGGGGAGAAAATCAACTGGGGGAGGGCAAGAATAGTATGGGAAATGTAGAAGCTAAAGAACTTGTGACACATGGACATGAACTAAAGGGAGGGAATGTGGGGGCATGGGGTGTGCAGGGTGGAGAGGAATGAAGGGGTGGAAAGACAATTGTAATGGTATAATGGATAAAATATATATTTTAAAAATAAATAAAATTGTCCTATTCAAAACTGAGACCAGCACTGATGGCCGTGCTCCTGTGAAGGCTGCACTAACATTAGAGTCCCGTGGGGGGCTGTCTGAAGATTCCGATGCCTGGTTCTCACTCTGTTCTCATCCAGAGTTTCAGGGGGAAGGACCTAGGTATGTGCATTTTTAAAAAAGCATCACAAGTGATTCTGATACATAACCTGCTGAGGACCACAGATGCATAAAGTACTTGAGCTCCCTGGAACCCAGGCAGTGCAAAGACTTGTGCTAACCCCGGGCCTTTACATCTCAGGACGTTGAGTTTCCTGGGAAAGTGCGGGTCTAATCCATTCCTAGTCCTCATCATCAGGACTTGAACAGCTATGTTTTAACGTGGTAGTTTTCCGCATCTGTGCTTGTAGTTTTTACTAACTTTTACCGCTTCTACATAATACTCTCATAACTTTTGATAGACTCTACATTAAAGGCAGCTATTTAAATGAAAGGGTCTTAAAAGTAAAGGTACATTTAACTGCTAAACAACCATATGACATTTTGGATGAATTGCTGTACCTGGAAGCATAACCGTTTGACTGGAGAGCAGCAAAAACGTGGTTAAAGACCGATGTCCTGCAGTGCCGAGCTGGGGAGGTCCTGGCCAGGCGGGAGGGTCAGATCTTGTTGTCCTCCCAGCCCTTCAACCTCCACCAAAGGCCCTCAGTAAAATGGTTTGATCACTCTCCTCCCCAAAATGGGGAAAAACCTGTACGATAGTAGACAAACTGCTTGATTGTTAATGTCTTTTTAATCCACATAATTGGAATAAGACATAAATTGTTTGGGACTTTTGAATCACTCTGGGGCTAAAAGAAGTGTTTATTGGGTAATGACAGAGCTTTTTATTCATTGAGAGAATTACTCAGTTTTGCATGGAGTAATCAGGCTGATTACCCAAGTTATAAAAAGGCTCCTGAGTTGATTAAACACTAAAAATGTCATGAAAAATGTATCCTAATAACAATATATCCAGTTACTTAAATGTGCATGTGTAGAGTATTAGAATTTAAATGTTAAAATTTATTTTGTTTTTATAGGATTCACAGTTTGATTCTACAACTGGATTTCTAGGTAAAACTATGGAAAAACTGAAAATTTTATCCAGAGGGAGCCAAACAAAGCTGCTGTGCTATATGATGCTGTTTTCATTGTTTGTCTTTTTTGTCATTTATTGGATTATTAAACAGAGGTGATGCCAGTAAGTTGTGAGTTTGGGGTTTGTTCCAACCTAAGTGACTTTGGAGTACTACTTTGGTAAAAAAAAAAAATCATCAAAACATTCCTAATTTTGAAATACTATGGCTTTTTTCATTGAAGATGACTAAATTTTACTTGTTTTATAAATCACCTTAGATAATACAGTGCTCTTTGAATATTGTTTGTTAATGACTCATTTTTGCTCCTATTGTCAGGGGTAGTGAAATGGCCAAAAGTTAGTCTGGCCCTAACAATTGTTTTTCTTCTGTTGACTGTCAGATTAAATAGCAGTACAGCATTCTGTTGCCACCATACATGTGGGTTTATTTTCCATGTAGAGAAATGCAGTGGTGGAATGATAGAATGCCAGGAGAGCCTGGTGCGGAGCCCTTGGGGTGGTGGACGAGTCTGTGGTGGAACGATCAATGTATATTCCTGAACTGACATCGACCCTGATGATATACTCCCCTTTCCTTTTCTACTGGGTGAAATCGTAAGCGGGTTTCTTTTTACCTGTAGTTTTTTCTGATAATTTTTGATGATGTGACTCCTCTTCCCCCAAGAGCCTCATTCTTTAATAAAGCTTATTTTGGCACATTTCTAGTGCGGTGTCAAACAAATGTCTAATGCTATAGTTATGTTAACTTTATGTGTACCGCTGACTTGGTGTAAAAGTTTTATGGTTTTAGCTTAGGCCGTTTGGTTATCATTTGTGAGAGAATAATGTGAAGCCAATGCAATTGCCAAGCTCCGAATGAACATAACATGTTCAAGAATAACTAATTGCCTCTGCTTTACTATGTGCTCAAAAGAGATAATGGAAACTGCTCAGCATGGAATTTGGGGCTAAGAGTATTGTTGCTTTAACCCAGTATATTTGTTTACAGAAAGCAAGACAAAGGTGGAATGTTGAGTAGAAAGAAATAATAAAATGTCCTTAAATATTCTGTATCGCTACTATTTTAGAATTTAACTCATTTATGAGCTCGAAAAATAAATTTTTAATGAAATGAATTAATTACCGGTGTTGCTTCTTTATTCAAGTCTCATATTTTTGCATAGAACCTGAGAGATGATCCTGAAAACTCAGATTCCAAGCAAAATTAGGAAAAGCTAACATATTTGTATTATTTCCAAACTTGCTTTAGACAAATAAGATAAATGACTGCAGTTTCAAAATGATTAGTTATAAATCTATTGTCATTGATTTTTCTGAGTTTGCAATGCTTTTTGCTCATCCCTCATCAGTTCAGATCCTGTGCTGGATCTCTGGCTGGATTTGTCATCATTGAGGGCCCGCTTGACCGGTTAAAACACTTGAACCGAGAGGGGCTAAGTGACTTAGCACCTACTGAGGCGTGAGTTACGTGGCCAGGGTTCAAATCTCCATTCTTCACTCACTGTTTTTTCATTAAGTCACCTATTTCACAGGATCGTTATAAGAGATACACAATGCATTGGAAAGTGCATTACACATGATAGTCGCTCAATAAACATTAGTTCTGCCTACCCTTACACATCAAAAAAGGGAGTTATTTTAAGACAGTAAGTTGGTTTCAGGCTTTAAGGTGGTAATGTGTCCTCTAAATGGAAATTTCTAAGACAATTAGAGATTGATTCTTTTTTCCAGGAATTCTTTAATTATGTATTCTGTGCCAATTATGTGATCTCAAGAGCTCAGGGAAAACTCAGAAATCATTGCAATAATGAAAGTTGCAAAAAAGAAAACAAAAGGCCAAAGAAAAGTGACTGGAAGATGGAAACAGAAGGGAATCAACAAGAAATAGATGAGATCAAAGCCCTAGGAAAATCAGTGAGGGCGAGACAAGGATGGCTTTCAACATGAAAGATCAGCTATTACATGAAAGTGTTTGTAAAATACTAAAACGCTATTTAAATGGTGGCTATGATGATCAGGGAGGGGATGATAAGTGGTCTGGGGTGATGTAAGTGTGCTTCTCATCACTGCCTTGTCCAACATGTCTTAGTTTAGAATTCTTTTTAAGAACTGCCTAAAAGCAGGTATCTAACTAGTAGTTCACACAGTCCTTCCCATCGCTGCCTTTCCTGAGGTTGCTGAGAGGCGGCTTCTGAAATGACCTGTCCCTGCCCCACCCGCCAGGGGTCCGACTGCCAGCACTCTTCTTCCTCCTGTTTGGGGCCTCCTAGGAACAAGTACTCCCAAAAACAAAAGTTAGGGGAGACATTAACTATGTTTCTAATTCCTTGTCATCCTTGACAAGCTCATCGCTAACTGCAAAGGAAATTATTTCTGTGTGTATCTCGGAGGTTGAATGTAATAAACAGGCAAAATATATAGTTTTTATTCAATATGACTTGCAGATCTTGGGATGGTAGGGACATGTTATAACTCCTGCATTTTAAATGGTAAAGCAGAGTCAGACAGCGATTCATAAAAGTCTATAAAAATCCCAAATGCCCAAAATTTTGTGCAGAATATGTAGTCTATTTCACTAAGAGTGGGTCCTTGGAAGTGAGCCAACACATTTTGCAAATAATAAAAAGTATAACTTACCTGCACCCTCCCCCTTCAGATATCAGGCATAGGTCTCTACAATGAGGAAAGGGAGAATTATATTTACAGTTGCCAGAATTTAAATTAGCATGCAAATAAATTCTTGGATACTACTTGAGCAGAGAATAGTTGCTAAATCTAAAACAAATATGCAACATTTTAGTCATTTGAATTTCAGCAGAAAACCCTGGCACCTGCACCCATAGAAAGCTTCTAGTTCTATAAAATAAATTAGTTTTCCTAATTTTTCCATGCTCTTAAATTTCAAATTGCAGGTATTGAATTTGCTTCCTTGTAGAGAAGGAGAAAGTTCTTGATAATTTGGGTTCATTTAGTCTAAATAACCTCATCAGGCCATATTGATTAATTGACTGACTAAATATTTACTGGGAAGCAAACCAGCTCTGTAGCCAAGACAAAGCTGCAAGCTCACGCTGCCTCAGCATAGATCCTGGCTCCACTACTCACATTAAGACGGGGGGCTGATCACCCCTCCACCTTTGTTATTCTATTTCTAAAAGAGGAATAAAAATTTTACACAGCAACAATACACAAGGAGAGGGTTATTGTGATAACTAAGTATTAACTTGCAGAAAGCTTAGAATGAGCTCCTGCTACTCCATGGGACTGCCTTCAGGGTAGTTGCTCAGAGTTCTCTTTCCAAACTTTGCAAATTTTAATTTATTCTTCAAGATGTAAATGACAAGCTTCATAAAATAACAGCCTTTTGCTATTTAAATTTCATTTTCTATAATTTTGGAATAATTGCTTAAATTCTTTGTACTTTCATAGGCCCTAGATTAAATCAGGAAGTTCTCATGTAATAAGGTTTTATATAAATTAAATATGCACTAAGAAAGTGAAAAGAATATATGTTCTCATATATATTTGTGTATATTTATTAGATATAAAATACTGAGAGAAAAATTCAATCACTTTTGTATTATACAGGCTTCAATCTTAATTACATTAAATTATTTGGGGGATGTGGGCATTCTAAGGGCAGGCAGAATAAAAATTTTACGTTCAATATTTGCTTTTCAATTAAGTGTGCAAGTGTTGCTTTATTCAATACCTACTTTTGCTTTTGTTCCTGGGAATGAAATTATATGTTTTCAGGAGATTTGACTAATTTCTAATTAAACAATTCCTACTGGTACTAATCTCTGCCAGGTTAACTCAGAGTGGGTTATGTTTTCATATAACCACAAGTGTTTACTCCCAACTTAAATTTTTGTTCTAATGCTTACATAGAGCTGTTATAAATATGTTCCTCTTGGAAATGTACCATCTGGTATTTTAATCTCTTCCTTACCAATGAGGAAATTTTTAGAAACTGTTACATATTCAAAAAATATCCATGTGGTGTCTGATGTATATACATTATATATAGATATAGATATAGATAAATATTCTATATACTGTTTTCCTATATTTTTAGAGATATAAATTCCTAATAATAAAAGAACAGAAATTATTCATAGGAAAGAAAATTTTAACTATTAAAAAATATTTTTGTTTGCTCTGGCTGTTGTGGCTCAGTGGATTGAACCGAAGTGTCACCTGTTTGATTCCCAGCCAGGGCACATACCTGGGTTGCAGGCCGGGTCCGCAGTAGGGGGTGTGTGAGAGGCAACCACACATTGATGTTTCTCTCCCTTTCTTTCTCCCTCATTTTCTCTCTCTCTAAAAATAAATCTTATTTTTTGTTTGTTTAACTCATTTGGGAAGGAAATACTTTTATGAAGTATCTGTTCTTTCTAGAACACTTGGCACAGTAGTAGATCCCAATAAGTGAGTAGTGAATAAATTCACGGTTCCTACTAGAGGACATATCCTTTTTTATTATCCCTCACTAAAATTTAAGTGGAGACCATACAATGCTCTGAATAAAAATGTGTGGCTTGATTAATAACATACTAAGTTCAGTTGCTGGCTGAGCTTCTTTGAATATTGGAGGCACAACACTATAACCATTGGGTTAATTAGGGACCAGAAATTGCTGCCAATTTAAAATTCTTATGGTTTTTCCTTTGATAAAGCTGAGGGAAGATGGGTTAGAATTGAATGGATGCCACTTAGTGAGGCACAGGTGGCGAAGAGTTGGAGACAGCTGTTTAATAGTGCTTAACCATCCAGGTTTCCAAGCACATCAGGTTTATCAGCAGCTCTGATCCAACTTAACTAGGTAAGTAGGGCACTCCATTCCAAAAAACCTACTAGGTTATTTTTTTAAAGAATTTTGCTTCTAAGTGATTAGACTTGACTGCGGACCTTAGCCATCTGAATTTCACCCA